CTAGTCATAGCTGGGCCCAGACCCAACTGAAAGACTGTGGGGATTATTCTTTCTGGTCCCTTTCTGACTTAGCTGACTCATTTTTCCCAGAAAGGGGAGAGATGGGAGCAGGGTGCGAGAAGCACATGACCTAAGGCCAACATCATCTGCTGGGAGAAATAGGTATGGGCTGTTTGGGCTTGCTTTAACTTGATTTTTCATGTATGCATAGAGGTGCTTGAAGAAGGTATTGGAGAACTTTAGTTATCTTTTAAAAATTACTTTGCTTTTGCATGGAAGGAAAAAGTAAGAATATCAGCCCAGATTTTCATTTGGGCTTTGACTCTCAGTGGAGCTACGCTGATTTTTATAATATTGGCATTATATTTTTGTAAATTAAAACATTAAAGCATTGTTACCAGGTCATTATTTTCATTAATAATCGCTTTGGTTAAATCTCCTCTAAGAAACATTCTATGTCTCAGAAGATCACATAGTTTTTCATAGGAAACTGGTAGAACTTTGTTCCTATTTTGGACTTGATCAGTAAAGAGCTTTGCAATTATGCTCTTAGATCCATGATGTTGATATCTAATTTAGGTAACAGAACTTGGACAAAGCTTTAATTCTCAACGTTCAAAACTGGCAGATTGAACCCAGTAGCTTTTAATTCATTTTTGTTTTACATTTTCTACCTAGTTTTCAGAGTAGGCAATTGCATCTTTTTATACTACAGAAAGGAGGATGTTTCCAGTGTTTTGAGCATTTTAGCATTCCATCAAGAAAGTTTAGGACACGGTTGAGAGGAGGAGTTCACACAAGAACCCTCCTGAGCGGTGCATGCCAAATTGTGAACCTGGCCATTGGAGGGTGTCTGATCAGTCCTGTGGCAGAAATAGTTGTATTATTTATTTTGCAATATAAGCTCTGCCATGGATCTCCTGGAGCTTCAGGAGGGATACAGCTCGGGGTGGCAGTAAGTTAGCAGGCCTGCAGGATGATTAATATTTTTTTAAGCAGTGCCCATTAGAAGGCGTGCGGGAGGTATGGTTAGCAGCAGAAGATCTAGCTCTCCAATATGCAAAGCTGTGATGGCCCTTTTCTTCATATCCTTCACTAGTACAGTTTAGGATAATTAACTATGTAAGTTAATAGTCCGTTTTCTAATCATCTGAGATTGCTTGGAGTCTTTCAGATCACCTAAGCGGGCTTTGTGTCAGGCCTGTGTACAAAGGCCCTCATGCTTGAGCGTGAAATCAGCCCAGCTAACCTTTGTGTGTGATGCCCCTTTATATTTTTTGATGTATAATCCATACCACTGTCTCAACTCCCATCAGTCTCTCCAGTGGCCAATCTTGTGTTGCCGATGACATGAACTGGGAGTGATCAGCTTTCCCCACAGAAGCCTCTGAATCTAGTACTACTTTGTGTCATGACAGATGCTTAGAGAAAAGAGGCATTAATTCTGCGTGTTTGCATTTGAACAGTGGACACCTCTTCATAAACCCTGTAGAGCTGAGAAGCTGTACTCATTGAAGAAAGCCTCTACCCTTCCAGATTAACTCTGGCTGGAAGCTCACAGAAACTCTTCTGTTGGAGAAATGAAGCTGCTGGGATGAAACCCCAAGCAGAATCTTTGCTATTTTGTCACAATAAAGAATTTACATTTAATAAAACCAGGGGCCTCGGGATGGAGGTATGGCATCTGCTGTGACAGTTTTCGTCTTACTTTTGTTTTTAGAGTTTTCTCGCTAATTAGTTTATGTTCTGATAAATCCTTACTACAACAACTGCTTTAAAAACAATTGAAAATAAAACAAAAAGAGGAGTTTAAATTGCTTATGGCTTGTTTTGTATGGCTTCCAGGCATTTGAGCAATTTTGCTAACAAGTATCCTGTAACCTATTTCCAAAGGCCACTAGCAGATAATTATATTTGGTTAATTTACATACTTTCGGTTTATAATCCTAATTAGTTCTCCAACCAGTAGTCCCTAGGCAATATGTAGTCTTACCTCATTTTATTTGCCATCCCTAATGTGCAAGTTCTCTTCTTTTAATTTACAAAAAAAAACGCTGTTAGGTTTGGTTCAGGGCTTTCCCATTTCAGTGCACATCTAAACTGGGTGATTCCACGCTGATTTAAACCCTATTTGCAAATAACTGTTTTACATTTTTATAGATCTTACGTCTGGGAGACGTTCTGCAATTTAGGGAAACTGACCCCAGTTTGACACACAGCCTATTTTATTGCAAAGAATCGGGTCAAATTCTGCACCAACCTGTATCCAGAGCGTCCCGTTTACATCTCTGGTTCGCGGCAGCAGTGTATACGTTGGCAAAGGGTGGGGATGGAGGTGTTGGTCTGTAACCATCTCGTGCTGCTACCCATGGCAAAAGTGGGGATGGGATGTGAGGCAGCCAGAATGAATAACGGCTGCGTGAGAGCCTTGGGGAGCTGCACGCACGGGCTCTGGTAAAACCTCTCAGGCTGCTTGGCAATTGCTCATTCCCCCTTTGTGTATTTAGGATCTCTCCCTGCGTACCCATTATTCTGGGCTCGTTTATCATCCATGCTTGAGATTATGCTCAGTAAAGTGGCCGAGGAGAAAGGGAAAAGGAGGAGGGTGGAAATGAAGATTTATATTTTCAGGTGAGCAACACTACCTTTAGCTTCTTCCAGGTTTAAAGGAACTTCAAAAACCACTTGGAATGAGCCTCCCCGAGGGAAGGAGCCCACCTCCCAGTGCTGATCCCTGCACGACTGGGGTGGAAGCTGAGTGTCCGGCCAGGGTCATCCCACCACACTGAGTCAGCGCCTTGCTGTGGGACCGGACCCCGCGCCCAGGCGGTGAGGATGGCTCTGCTCTCTGCAGGGGTGCGCAGCAGTTGGTGGGGAGCGTTGGGTTTCGGGAAAAGCCTGTAGGAAGGCAGGAGACACAATCTCCACTGTTGCATGGAGATCTCTTGCATGAGATGTCCTGTGGGCAACTAGAACAATTCCAGTTGTTGTCTTTTAAGCACTGGGGTATGTGCTATAATGCAATTTTTAGAAAAGCTGTTGGATGAAATATTTCCTCTTAGGCATCAAAGGCTGCTTTCTACTCTGATTCATTTCACTGTAATGAGGTCAGGTCTGGACTAACATTATGGTAATTTCCAATGTTTCCTTGCAAGCATTAAAAAGACCCAAAATCTCCCCTTTCAACACCGCATTAAGTACTTCGATAAGGTAATGAAAAAGAGCGTGTGATAATATAACTGAGAAAGAAAAGGAAAATCTGCAGTTTGCAAAGCTTTTGCCCAGATTTCCAGGATAATGGATGGATTCTGTGAACTGATGCTTGTTAATAAATCGTAATACTAAAGGAGAGAGGCGATTTTTAACTGACCAAAATAACAACAAATGTTTAGTGAGGAAAAACTCAAAGGTGCGAGAATAATTCTTGGCCAGTGATTTTATTTCAACATCTTAAATAATGTAAATTTTATACTGTTGATGCTTTGGTGTAATTTCTACACATCACACTTGAATTCCCAAATACGTTTCTGCTGTTACACACACACGTACAATGCTCAGCATTTATATAACTGATGCTGAAAGGAACCGTTACCTGTGAAATTATTCCACAGGAGCCTATTGTTATGAAGAAAACCTTGATGAGAATTCTTCCTCATTAGAGCATTTAAAATCTTACTCTAGTATTTCCAGGTAGACTGAAGATGGCTTAAATGCCTTTTCATGTCTGATTTAAGGACTGATTCCACTCTAATCATAGCTCTGAACTTTAGGAGAGGCAGTATTTTGCTATGGCTGCCATACCTGCACTTGGGATGAAGAGAACATGAACTCAGAGTAAAGCAGATTGGAGACAGAGATAGCAAGTGTCTTATGTTGAAGGCAGTGTGTTATGAAAATCATATATTTTTCTGATTGTACCACTCGTGATGATAATGGCTGGTAATATGTCAGGTGAAACCCTGGCTCTAACAAAGTCAACAGAAAATCTTTCACAGACTACAGTATGACTAGTACTTTATCCCAAAGGAAAATGTCGTTTGAAGATAAATTTACAGAGGCTTATTGTCATGAGTGCCAGATTTCAAGGGGCAGCATCAATTTGCATGGGCTGAAGATGCATTTTCGGGCATGTAAAAGAGTTTACTGTGGGATATGGTGGACATACATTCAATGCTAATTCAGTGCTAGTCCAGAAAGGGAATGGAAAAAACCCTGAACAAATGTGTTGTTTGCTTCTTGATAATAGACAAAAAAGGCACACAGAAGCTGTTAATCTCTCCTCTTCCAAGTTTTCTGTCATTAAGATTATAATTTTTTCTCTGTATAGTTATGGCACAAGAGTCCAGAACAAGAACTTAGAAGAGTTTGGGAGCAGGTTTTCTGTCAGGGCAAGAGAAGGGGGAGAGGGGATGGAGAATCTCTGAGTTACTCATAATGAGTCCATGTTACTTAATCCAGCAGAATATTCCAATTTATATGTGATTTCTTAATTAGAAATAGACAACAAGAAAAGGAGTGTGACACCTCTTTGGCATGTAGTTTTTGTCTTTTTCAGCATCTCTTTTAATTTATATATTTATTTGCTTTAATTGATATATGCTTTCATTTATGTATTGTCTGTTTTTAATACAAACCCACACTGAAGTTTGCAGGTGGTTTTTATATACCACTAAGAAACCACAAACCAAAGCACAACAGGAGAGCAGAAGTCCTATTTGTTTCTCATTTACAGGTCATCTTAAACACCTTGTGAGTTGAAGATATGCATTGCTTGACTCCACCCTTGATATTCCTTGTACTTCTCTCTCGCCTCTTCCCTCCAGCTCTCCTTCCTTCAAGAAAACCTCAATCCAAATTCCCCCTAAAGTCAGGGTGCAGATTATTCTGTGAGGTTTGACTCTGGTGGGCTGTCGAGGCATTCCGTCAGCGCAGGAGCTACGCTCGAGGAAACAATACTCTACGTGGTGAAACCAGAAGGCAGTCAAAAGAATGTAAAATAGTTTGAAATATAAAACAATAATTTATTTTACTTCATTTTACTTGTTAACTTTTGTAGCTAATGATGATTTCATGAAACTGCTTTTATAATTCAATACATTCAAATCTCTAAAGCAAACAGTTACTACCATGGGCCTTTCAAATTCCACAAACTGTCTTATATAAACAAATTAGCTGTACATGCACGTTTCTTCAATAGGTTGCAACATTTGCAAACATGCTTTAAAATCCTTTAAAGCTGCAGTATAGTGTACTTTGCTTCAGGTTTTTCAGATGAAACCTATATACTTTCTTCAGAAACCTTAAAAAGAAAAATGTTTAAATGTTGAGCATAACTCTAAAAACTGCTGTTTGATAAATGTTAAATATTACAAGAGAATGACTCTAATTCAGAGTTTAAACCTTGAGCTAAATATTGATAAACAGCACTCTGTGTAGAAGTGAACAACAGCAAAATAATATCACAAAATATGGTTTCACAAAAAATATGTATGTGCAGTTGCTTTTGTGGGTTTGTTGCTTTTTTTTTTTTTTTAGGTAAAGAAAAGCACGGGTACCTTTTAATATGAGTATAGTTTAAGCAAATTACCTGTGTATGGTTAATACATTTCTGATATTTAAACACTTCATGTAAAAGGTAACAAGTAAAAAAGTACAATCAGTATTCCAAAAAGCACAGCTAATATTGCCTTTGAAAGGAGATGGGCAAGCGTCCTCTCCGCTTCGCAATGGAGAGCCTGGCACCCACACTTGTAGAGTTCAGTATTTGAACTATAAACTTGGTGACTGTATCTTATATACAAAAATCTTGCCACATTGAACGAGGCATTGATTTCTACCCCAATGGTAGTGTTTTATGTACATAATTTAGCAATGGCGATTATACAGTAGTCACTGACAGGAAGGAATTGTACACCCGTGTGCCGTCTGGTGACTTTGTTCCGTGGGTTAGCAGTTCTTGGATTGTCATCCAATTGTCAAATATTTTTTTATTTCTCTTCTTCATCATTTTTTTGTGGCTCAGTTCAATGATATTCATCTCTTTCTTGTCTTCCGCACCTTGCTGTTCCTTTAAGCAATCTAACCTGCTCTGCATCATAAACTCGCGCCTCCTCCTCTGCTCCTTCGCTTTCACTAAATGCTGCTTCCGCTCCTCCTTGCTCCAGTAACGACCCATCTTCATTTCGCTTATGGCATCATCATCGGTAGTCATACCACTGCGCTCCTCCTTAATCTTTATGGCACGTTCTCTCAGCAGCCTGTCCCTCACCGGCCTCTTTGTAATGTAGCGGGTCCCATCGCTTCTGACCTTCACTTTCCACTCCATCCTGGGTTCGCTCGGGCTTGAATTGAAGTCTTTGCACATACTCACCAGACTCATTTGGCTCTGTGCATACTCCACCGCCGATTTCTGTTGGATCAGCTGCATGTAGCTCTGGTAGTGCTGTGCGTGGGCAGGAATGTGAGCATGCTTATATGGAGAGTGATGGTACGGGGAGACGTAGGAACCGGAAGGTTTTTGGCCATGAGTAGGGCTTTTGCTTCCATCACTGGCTTTTCTCTCCTTGCTTTCCAGCTGCTTGCCAAGGTCGGGATCTTTAGCAGAGGCATGGCATTTACCAGGGCTGGATTCATGACTTTCTGAGCTAGCAAATAAATTCTTTTGGGAGACATTGTATGCCACTGCCCCCTCATTACCTTGACAGTTAATGCCTTCCGCAGTTCTGCGTAGCGAATTGTCAGGGGAAATCTCCAGCGTGAGTGGTGTGCTTCGACAGCTTTCCCCTGTGTTATACGCACTCGAGCTATCCTTGTCAGACTTCTCGGGGAGCTCCGTGATGTCTGAGAGCTCGTGCCTGCGAACATCGATGCTTGTGTTATAGTTGCGGAACCCGCTGTTGTGTAGCATCCAGGGCTCCCGGTACTGATCTTTCAGCTGCTGCATTTTATGGGCTCTCACAATATTCAGGCACTCCAACTCGATACTGCGCAGCTCCTCATTCAGCATCTCCAGCTCTCTGTCAACACTTTCTTGGTCACTTTTGCTCATATCCAGCGTGCTGTTGTGATAGTACAGACTGTAGGGGTTGGCAGACTTCACCTGGCACTTCAGTTCCAGCAGTTCCCGGAATCGCTCGCATTCATCTACGGGGATGCCAAGGAAGTCGACGTCTGTGCAGTCGGCCGAGATAAACGACTCATTGCTGAACTGCATATCGCCACTGCCTAAGGTGTCATGACTGTACGTCAGCTTCTTCTGGCTTCCTAAAGTGTTGGAGGAGGTGGTGTGATCATCCACGTTGTTCTCCTGCTCGGAGCTCTCGTCGTTGCGAGTGCTGTCGTCTGTGCGCCCCACGCCACTGTCCTTCTCGTGCTGGTTAGATAAAATAGTGGCTGTATCTGTGGTACCTCCATCCTCCTCATGCTTCTTCTAACAGCAAAAATCAAAAGACAGAAAGAGAAATTATAGCAAGGACATAAATTATTTTAGGGTGTTTATTTTTTTTTTCTTAAAAAAAGATGTTTTCTATGTTTTCTAAATCTGTCACTTACAGAATCATAGAGTTGTTGATGTTGGAAGGGACCTTTAAGATCATCAAGTCCAACCATTAACCTAACCTGACAAAACCACTTCTAAACCATGTCCCCAAGAACCACATCTAGCCTTTTTACTTGTTACACTTTCTGCATCTTTGTCTTTTACTTGTATGGAAAGCATATTATTGAGAACGCATAGAAATGGTGACCAAAACCAGAGCCTCCTGTGGATGTTTTTTTCAGAAGAACCTGAGGTCTGCTTTTCAGTTATATGGCAACAATGGTAGAAGCCACATTTTCCAAATGTTTCTTCTCCTACTTAGGTGCACAAAAGTATCCAGTTCTACTGTGGTGCCAAAGTGAGAATATGTCTCTTCAAAAAAATGTGGATGCCACAGAGGACGCAGAGTTTTAGTAAACTCTAGAAAAAACTCTCGACAAAAACTGAAAAACTATTCATGAACTTGTGTGATTGCATTAATCGTGGCAGAATGATGGGGAACACAGGCCCAAATCTGTGGTCCTGCTATGTAAAAACTTTTTCTTTGCCTTTCTCCCCATATATAGACCTTATTTTGGTCATTTCGCTGAGTTCTCCACTTGGATTTTAAGCTTTTGGGAGGGCAGGCTGTTTTCAGTATGTGCATGCATATCAAATAGGAAATTTCCTAAGTTAGCTCTCTGCCTGCTGTAGCTACCATACACCCAGCTTGTACTGCTCTTAGTGACCACAGCCAGAATGGTGGATTTCTGAGAACTGTGATCATGTTATTGTAAGGGACAAAATAAAAAAAAGTAACATTTTTTTTAAATGGTCCCCGAGATGAAGTTTGTAGTCATGTAATATCTTGATTTTACAAGAAGTTCTTTTGCCTTGATCGTCATTCGAGACACTAAGTGTATTCAGTCAAGCTCAATATTGGAATATTGAGTGCAATGTGAAGTTTTGACACCATCGCAGAACAGAACGGCAGTACCTGCTGAAGCATGCTGGCAGTAAATTGCATTGCCTGGTGGTGCTGTTCCTCTAACATGTCCATGTGCAAGTCATCCAGAAAATCATTTCTGTCATCATCCATCCATCCTTCATCCAGCTATGTGAAAAGGGAAGAAAAACCAAACCAAATGTTGGCAAAGGAATGAAGACTGACATAAATTATGTTCCTTCCTTGTGAAAAGTGATTGGGAAATGTTGGGAGAGTCTCTCCCATGTCCTGGGAAGGAGCAGACATGTCCCCGTGCTAAGTGTGGGTATTGACTGTCCTACCTCCCCCCACAGCCACCTCCACCTCCAGCAGCATGGTTGCATCTTCAACAGCCCTTTATATATGAAACAAACCCAGCCTTTCCATCCACGGACATACTTCTCAGAGTTTGTTTTGGTTTGTGCCCGACTTGATTAGGATGTATAAAACCACCCAAAAGCCCAAAGCTTGAACATACCACTTGCGAGGCAGCATCAAGGGCCAGAGGGGAAGATGCTGGCTAGGGGTCTGTACGACTTTTTTACTGCCGGCCTTAATTATCCCCGAGGGAAGGATCAGAAACACGCAGGCTAACAGGCTGGTCCCGAGCCTGACCCTGTGTCTGCAGGTGCTTTGGCGAGGGGTGCTCTCACAGCACCAGGAGCACAGGCAGATCAAACAGTAACGCTCACGGCTGTTTGTTCAACATCTTTGTTGTGCTAATCCCTGCTCTACAAAGGGATCGGGTTTGACCTTTTATTACAGCTGAGGGTGCTTCTTGACAGTATTTAACTACATTAAGAGATGGTGTATAAAGTGCTAAATAATAGTAGTTTTAATGAATGAATAATCAATAGCTATAGGAATTAGAGTTCAGTGTGTTCTTCAAAGCTATGACTTGAAACCATCCATAATACCTTGCACTCATGTTTGTAATAGCACTGCAGCATATATAAATCCCTGAACATCTTATAAATTAAACTTTATTATAAAATACATGTGTGACTGATGAATTCCATTCTTTTAGACCATATATATGTCCAGTCAAACTATATAATATGGTTTTAGATAGATTTGGTAGATTTAGGTAGGTTAAAAATCTTCAAGGATACTGCTTTCTACAAAACAGCAACTCTTTTATTTAAAGTAACATGGAGGTTTGGTTTTGTTTTGTTTTTTTTTTTTTTTTTTGCTACAGTACCTGAATTTCTGGTCTTGCAACCAGTAAGGAGATATTCTTGCTCTCTTCACTGCTGAGAAGTGCCACAGCTTCTTCTCGGTTCTGCACCTCTATGCCATTGATCTTTAAAGAAAAGAGCAACAGAATGAAATCCTTTCACAGGGATACTTAAATGTTGCTGGGATGAGGTCTACAGAACCGCATGGCTGTAGAGATGCCAGCGCAGCACAGGCCAGGCACAGCCCCTGTTCACACCTCCAGTCGTGTCGTTCAGATTAAGTGTTGGGCAAGTGCGTTGGTTTGGACACGTGAAGCTGTTCTGTACCTCTGCACGTCATGTGCGGGGCCTTGTTACGAGGACAGAAAGTGGAGAAGGAGAGTTGGGCAGGAGCAGAAGCATAACATCAGGTCTGGTGGGAGGAAAGGAATGGGAACATCCTCGTGTGGGACAGGTGAGGCTGTGGATGCTGCTCCCAGAGACCGAATGGGATGTGGACCTCTACTCGTGTCCGTCTGCAGGAGGTAGACTGCTTCTGACAAAGCCCCGGTGGTGTAGGGTTGCTGCGCTTGGAAGACGCTCGTTCTGGCAGACAGCACTGGGTGTTCAGCCTGCTGAGCAAGTTCCGACACCCCCCTGACTAAACAGGGCTGCCCGGAGAGATTTGGCAAAGAGGAATAATTACTTGGGCCAAAGCAGAGGGGTTTTGCAGTCAAAGGAAGAGTCAAAAGTGGAAGTGTATCAGAATATGTGCTGGAAACAGATGACATCAGCTGACAAAATGCTTAGCCTGCAGAGTAGGGCCCATATAGGGCTTTATCCAGCCAGGACTATCAAAATCTGACTGAGATGTGGCAGAGGAAAGGAAAATACCCTCAGAAAGTTAAAAGGAAGTGTATGAATACCAGTCTGAAGGGAGTGATTTGTAAGAATTATTCCAAAATAAAGACATCACAGTAGATTATAGTGTAGTGACAGTCTTTCAACCCTTTACACACGTACCTGAATAATGCGATCCCCCTCTCGGAGTCGACCGTCTTTTGCAGCAATACTGTTGGGATCAATCTACAAAATGAGAGAACTCTGAGTGCTGTGGAGGTTTGAGAATTCAGTGCTTATTTGTGTCGTAAGCCTAGAATTGGTAATGCTGTATCTGTGGTTTACATCTCACTTGGTGATTGTGGGACTCTTCCTTGCTTATGTCAGACAAAGTGAAATGCAAATTAAAACGATCAAGTCAAAACCAAAACACCTCTTCCTGAGATGCCTCTTCAGAGAAGGTAGGTTTATCTCGTTTGCATGATACCGAGTTACCCCATAATTTAGCATTCTGCTTTACAACACAGTGCTCTGATTAGAACCAGGTTTTGCATATAGAACAGGAAGGATTATGGCCTAAGTGACGCATTTTAATGGAAGATTTTAGATACAGTTATGAGTTTCTTTCCCAAACTGCTGCTACTAATTTGAAATGGATCTGCATGATGAAAAAATTATGTATAAAATGCTACTTAATTCATGAAAGGGGGCAAAGAGAGACAAATGGGCCCCAAATCTCTGCAAATAAAAATGGGAGGGGGTTGTTATTTATTTATATTGTTTCTGGAATAATTGAGAACAAAAGTTAAAGGGAGAGTATACTCAAAATACTTTGAAAACATCATATGAAATTGAACGCTGAGACTGTGTTAGGGGAAAAATGAACACTAAATAATAATGAAGTTTGACTTCAGTGGAAGCAGGATTTCACTCAGTTTGGAGGAAAGGAAATATAATTAGATTTCTTGCAATCATTGCATTCTGGATGCTTTTTGAACATGGTACAAACAGAAGACAAATGTCTTAAATGCCCAACGCTGCAGTTTAAAAGACGAATTGTATCTTATGGAAATCAGCTCAATCTTACCTCACTCACATAAATACCCATGTCGTCTTCATCATCCGTTCTGTAACACACAGTAAGGCCAAGCTTGTCCTGACTGTTCACTCTATGTAAATCTACTTCCTGAGGTTTAAAAAACAAACAAACAACAAAAAAAGAAAAAGGAAAAGAAAACGCATTGTCAGTGAGATACTGGTGACTGATGGAAGCAATTTTTCAAATACAATGAAAATATTTTGCTTAAGTGATATAGTGGATCTCTTTTCATTTCACTTGTAGACGAGGTTAACTTACTGAGCAAAACGTGATTATATGCAGACAATCAATACCTGGGGCATTTTTGACCCTTCAATCAATATGAAGTCATTTTGAAAACCGACCTTTTATTGATCTTAAAGAAGAAAAATTACCTATATTTCATGTAGTGGTAAGACTGCAAACTAAAATACTGTATGATTTCAATATTTGCCACAGCTGATATATATTTCCTTATAAACAGGGAAATTTTCTGGCTTTTCAGAGAAAAATATAATACTCTAGTGCATTAACTTGTGTAATTTTCATGGAATGATGTAATAAATTTCTCAAAAGTGAGACTGAAGATCAATATATTGTCAGCAAAGCATTCAGTATTGGTAATAGAAATATAATAAGCACTTTGGTATCTTGCAAGGGTTTGGTTTCAGCAGGCCACGGTTTATCATTTTAGTGCTCTTTGGTGGGCTTGTTAGTCTTGGAGACATTTAAGCCATCTTAAAATTACATTGTTCTTCTATGCTTTTTTTTCCCCGTGAGGATTTCATGTGGCTTATTTCTTTCCTACTTTTGCTGCTGCTCTGTGACACTGGTTGGTACAAAGGGTTGTAAAATCCATGGAGGTGCCCACAAGCCATGGGGTGCTCCTGGCTGATGCGTAGTCTGCATCACCATCCACGTTAGCATCTCCCAGCTCTGTCTTCTCGCTTCCGAGGCACGTCCCGGGAGCCGAAGGACCCTGGGCAGTCTAATGCGCTGGACCAGCTTATTGCAACTGCTCTGTCAGTCCTGAGGATGCTGCCCCGGGGAGGAAGGATGTTCATAGGTAGAGGTGTAACAGCAACTGTAGTTGTGGTTTTTACTCCCCTTAGAAGAGTGTTTGGCAGAGAGCAAGGCTTTGAAAGATCCCGTAGCTCCTCTGCAGCTAATGCCAGGCGGGACGGAGATGACAGCTGTGGGGGCTCGAGCCCTGTTGCTGCGAAGGGAGAGAGTGGGACCAGGCGGAGGGGGCAAAGGGACACAGGCTGAGAAAAGAGGGCACAGCCCCAGCGCCATCCCAGGGTTGTCCCAGCACAAGGGCAGAGCCTGAACCCTGCGCGGGTGCTGGGACCTGTCCGTTCCAGGGGAAAAGTCCTGATAACGTGACTCATTATTTCTGAACGTCTCTCTGTTTTGACCTGCGCTGTGCCATTTGTAAGGGGCAAGACAATAAAAGAAGCTGATATGAATAATTTATTGGCATGTCTAGATGACAGCTGCCAAGATCAGCAATCTCATGTTATTTACTTGTCAACATGTGTAATTTCTTCCTTTTTTTTAAAAAAGAAGCATAGCTGTAAATGTCCGTGACATTTCAGATGGTATTTAAATGGTTTCAATCAATAGTATCCATGGTAAACTGCTGCTCTTTTTCTTCCTCTTTTGTTACTTAAAGGCTTCAACACAATGCTTTAATAGTGGGTTTTTTTCAGATTTCTAAAGCTTTTGGGGCTTTCTAGAGAGGAGATGGAAATTCTTCAGAAGAAAAGATGAGACAAAGTGGATTCAATTCTGATCTCATTTGATCCTTGGGAACACTACCACAATCAATGTGTTTATTTAGCATTTAATCGTGGTGCAAACTGGGAACAAGGTGGGAATTTGTGCACTGGGTCTAATTTGGGCCTAGAATGATTCCCACATTTCCTGCATACTTTAACAAAAAGATTTCATGTCTTGAGGAAAGTTTTTATACAGTTTACTCATTTGAAAATGTGGTAATGAAATAGTGGCAAGAAACTAGTGCTGTAGCTCATTATACTGTTTGTCACACTGGTAGTGAAAATATATATATAATGTTAAAAAAAGCCCCCCCCCCCCCACCCCCCCCAAAAAAAAAAAAAGCATAGTGACTTTGGCCATTATTTAAATAGATCCTATATAACCATAAACACTTGCCAGCACCTTTGGGAGTGGAAGGACAGGAGGGAGCAAGCTGTTAGTTTCTTCTTATCTGCTGCATGTTTTGAATAACACTAGGTGTTTTTCCAACAGTATACAACTACAAAGTGTATTCTTATAATAAAAAATAAGGATGGGTTTATATTTAAAAAGCACCTGTGATATACTAGAAAGTAATAAATAATCTGGTAAATTCAACATTCTATATTTTAAAAGGAAAACAAATATATATTGCTTAAAAACATGCTCACAAATAAAGCAGCAAAAAACTAACGCAAACAACAAATTCTTAGAGCAGGTGTTTAGAACCTGAATTTTTATGAGTAATTAGTTGACAGACTTACCCTTGGGTACAATCCCTCTAGTCCTTGGTAGGAAAAGAGTTGAGTGGGTTTGATGCTACCCAAATATGATAATTTTGTGTACTTAAAGGTAGGAACAGCTGCTTTCTGTGGGTCTTTGCATCAATAAAGTTTTAATATAATCATAAAGGTTTGAAATATTTGAGAGATAAAAGTGTGCAATTCCAGTTGGAGTTGAAGAACCAACTCCAGAGTCTTCAAAGCAAAGATTATTTCGCATGTTCAGAGTCGAGTCTGTATAATGCCCAGGTACATGAAAGGGAAAAATAGAACAGAAAATCGGCACCTGCAAGTACAGATACACAGTATCTTCTGTAATTGTACCTGGAATTAATTAAACTCTAGGAATTACTATGGGCTTAGAGAACTTTGAAGGTGTAACTTCATGTGCTTGCGATGCCACTGGACCTGCCATTTCTTACTCCTCTGTCTTCAGCGTCGCACCTCCGGGGAGCCCAAGGGCCTGATCCTGTGATCCTGCAGCGTGCACAGCCGCCTGCTTGCAGGGACACTGTGGGACACCGTCTCTTTCAGAGTGGTCTGGTGTCCTGTACGGTCTTGAGATGAAAGGATATTCAGTGCTCAACTGGGGCCGATATACTATTGTCATGAGCGCTGTATAATATAATATGAAACGTATCAGCCACCTACCTTGCAGAAGGGAGGCACTGAAGCCATTCAACACCTGGTCTAGATCTGCCAAAATTAGTTCAGCAGAGAATGGTGGTATCCACAGAGCGTGGTAATGTTGGGGCTGGGTTAATATGACAAATGTAAAAATGTCATATATGATATAACTTTTACACACACCGATAATGAAAATCTGCTTCTTTAGATAAGGTGGAAGTGACATTTTGAGAGATGTTCAAGAGAAGATTTGTGTGGTATTTCAGAACGGAGTCTGCACAAGAGAAGCGTCTGAAAGATTATTGGCTCCATTTCAAATGTAGAGCCAAGAAGGGCTCAGAGAGGTAGTTACTGAAATCCATATGGCATTTGTAGCAAGACAAGAAGAAATGAACGTGCACTATGACATTATACCTGCAACCACTCATAATCATGAATTAGGAGTAAGTGATAAGAGTAAATTAACCTCTATAAGCTCAGAAGATCCTTCATTTGCAACAGATTATTGAATTATTGTACTGCTGATTTAAAATTACGGCCTGCCTGCAAATCTATAAAAATCCAAGTCCTTTCTCTAACAAGACAGAAATGAGCAGTAGAAATCAGAAATGAGAGGACAACGATGGGAAAAAAAAGTTCAGACATTCAGAAAGCATTATCCAAAGCTTGCATAATTAGTACTCTGTCCTTTTGTCTCTCTCTGTAAAAAGTGGTGTATTTTTTCTGGGCTGACTTCTGAGGTACCTGACGAGCAGGGCCTCAGCCTTTTGCTGCTCCATTGATAGGTTTCGCTCAGAAAAGAATGTCAGGGAAATAAATATAAAAAACTCTTTCCTTCTAGGCTGCATGAGGCCTTCTTAAGTACCTTTTAGCGACCAACCCTGGTACAGCAGGAGGAAAAATCTTGTTCTTGCTGTCTTGAAGCTAAAGAAAGTGATCTTTATGTTTATCTTTTCACATAAATGTGGTTTTCAACAAAGGCGAAACAACCCCCCCCCCTTCCACTTTTCAGAGAAGAAAATTTTGTAAAACAGGTTTTCTTTCCAAAATTCTTTGCCCTAGAGAATAAGTAAAATTTTGCCTAGAGGTTTCTGCACCAGCCCAGCTCTATGATGGTAATTCTCTGATGGACCGCAGAGGTTGGACCAGCTTAACTCATCAGTAGAACTGGGGAAGGTTGAAGAAAATTGCGTCTCACCCTAATGAGAAGGGGCTTAGGATGCCAAAGTAAGATAACTTGCAGGATGCCCGGGCTCTTTGCCAAGCAGGTGGCCCACGGTCCAAGATTAAGACCTTTCTCACGCGGTAAGAGGCGTTAGGGCCAGGTTGAAGTCCTCCAGAATGCTAAGGGAGGACAAGCTTTCCGTATTAGCTGGTCAGCAAGTTGAAACATTTTACCACTTTTGGATTTGTTCCAAACAAAGAGTATACAAATGCTTGTCATAGAAAGTACAGTTGTGAGGCTGAAGGAAGATACTGCTTCTTAAACCTTTACGTGTTCCGTCACTGCCTGAGTAGGACTGCTATGGCTGAAGTCTTTTGTATTCAGAGACATAGGAATGCCTTGAGAAGCTCCTGAGCAGTGCAACTCCCTGCAGAGCGGGAGTTTTCATGGAGAAGAAATATATTCGCATAAAAGATGCTTTCAAATGCTTTACAACCAGGATGGAATAAAAATTGTAGAGTGCCTGTGATGGAGCCTACTGATTCCCATGTTCAGATAGTAACCTCTGGCCTCCTCCCCTCCCCTGCAAATAGATTACTGGAGAAGTAAAAGAAAACTTTCAACCAAAGTAGCAAACTACAGTGAAGGGGAGAGCTTGGAACCCTGGCACTCAGCTTTTATTTATGGTTCCCTCAAAGCAGTGAAGTATCGATTTCAAATTTTGAGGCATGGCTTTTGGTGCTGAGCGTGTTCATGTTTTGCTGCTCGGCTGCTGTGGTTTCACGCCGGGAACACTGTGCGAGCTGTGTGCTAGGGGGGCAGAACGCTATTGAATGAATCTGTTGTCCTTCTTCAGTCTTTTGACGTGAACACTTCACTTCTGTCCAAGACTGAGCGAGAGTATCAGAAAGGAGATTTCTTAGCAGTTAGCAAACATTTCATGTAGTTTTTCATCTCCAAGCTGTACTTAGTCTCAATTAGCCATTAGCTGAGTTCAGTTCAGTTCTCTACTCAGAAAGAAAACAAGACCTACCTACAAGTTGCATATAGGAAAGGGTAGAGACAGAAAGTCAAATGTGAGAGAACAAGCCCCCTTTTTGATGTAGAATGTTCTCCTTTGTAATCTGAGAAAATTAACGCACTGAGAAAGCCCTCGCTCGGGCTGCGTGGCTGACAGCTGGCCCGACTTGTTTGAATAAACATATTAACGCATAACGCTGCTGGGGAATCCTGGAGTGACATTATTCTTCCTTTATGAACCTGAAATGACTTCTGGCTGGGCCTCTGTGAAGAATGGATGTACTTTTAATTTATTATAAAATAGTAGTTCAGGACTTAGTCCCTCTTTCCTTGTGGCACGTAAACTTCAAAAGAAAAGAAATGGTATTTATTTATTTTTGTCGTAGGGAATATATGGCAGTTACCTCTGAGTCATCAATTTTAAGATAAATGTTGAGAGATAAAACTGAGAACACAATTTTGGCGTCTTGGCAATACTGCCAGCGTAAATTCCTTCCTACGGATATTTACATTAGAAGCTTGTTGTGAACTTGGGTATTTCACCCTTTTTGTCTTGTTTACTTGTTACAAATCACTAACCAGTCAGTTACAGACCATAAAAGTTTAGATGAGGAGCTTCTGATTGAAATTCAAAGCACATTTTATGGACGCAGAAGCCCAGAAGGCTGACTTGATGGCTTTCTGACTTTAGGTGTCTTTGTGGTCTTTTAAAACATATCTATCAAAAGGCAAACAAAAAAGCAACTGGCCGGTTGAGTCCCTGTTAGCACTTTGACCTTGCCATTGATCATCGTCTCTACAATTTGAACAAGAATCTTTAGTGGTTTTTAAGAAATACTATTAGGCTACAGAGACTTTTCTAATGTTCATCTCCCTGTGTTACTGAGCTGATCACCTTTTGCCATTAAGTACTATATCAATGTCAAAATTATTAATGCTGTGGTTTAAGGCATATTAACGTCTGGCTACTGAAGTGCACGTGTTTAAACTGTTTTCAGCTCAACTGGTTGACCTTCTAATGGAAGCAATATAACTTATCCGCAATATTAGATTTCCTATAAGATAGATTTTGAAAAGACAGTAGCAGAAAATACTAATTTGTTCTACATTTTCCCTTAAGACTGAAATCTATGTGGTATTTGCTTTTAGTTAAGAAAAAAAAAAAGGCACTTGTTTGAAAAGTAAGGCCTTGAAGTCTGCTAAACAGCATTTGTTTTACTGGCACTTTGATTTTATCCTGACTTTGATTTGCGTTTGTATATAGAGATGAATTACTACCAGATCTGCAGAATTTGAGAACAGCTTGCAAACTTTTTATGGGGTTTTAGTCCTTGATCCTGCAAACACTTTTATAGAAGGGAACAACTTTGTGCTCATAGAACGACTGAACTCTGCTCCCATTGAAGCTGTTGATAAATCTACTGCAGATTTACACAGAGCTACAGACAGGTCGGCATCGCTTGCTTTGACAAATAAGCGTTAGCAGGACCAGGATCTAAGAAATCAGAAGTGCAAGTAAGCTAAGAATAAACTATTTGCTTACTGATAATCTTAAATAGATTAACTGGATCAGACATTGCTGGTGGCATTTGGAAGTTTTGAGATACTTTACTGCTATTTATTACAAACGATTAAAAACACTTCAGTGGGTCAGTACTGCTTAAGCATCTTGCAGAACTAAGTCCCACAATTTATATGCTGTACTCTGAATGGGTGGGGGCAGGTTATTAAAATTAAGAAAGAGAAAACTGAAGATGAACTTCTGATGGGATATGCAAGTACTAAAACCACAAGCGATTTTTAAAGATTTGGCAGGAAAACAGACTTGCATACCTTCGTCACTGGCTCGACTTTTATTATCTATAATTTTATACGTACACATATGTAAATTTTCAGTAATGCAAAAGGGAGGAACAGCTTAGTATAGTGGTGTATCTATTCTGGTCTTGTCTTGTAAACTTAAAATACTTCTAAATTATATGATCAAGAACATCTGTTTCTCAGCTGGGGAATATTTAAGGGAAACTCACATGTTTTTATTGTGACTGTGTGGAACAGGTCCTGCCATTCAGCAAACTTGCAAAGTCTTTCAGATTTTCAGAAAGTCTAAATCAGCATAGTTATACAGAATGTCATTAGTGGAATTGATGACTTCATTATTTATGTTAATTTGTTAGCTGAAGATCTGGCTCATCAGTCCATGGCACATAGTTAAATACACTGCTAAAGGTACCAGTAAGGTTTGCAACCTGCAAAGTAACTGATGACCGATGTTATTACAAATACCTGCTTTGAAATGTCTTTTCACTTTATATACAACATAAAGACCATGACACGCACACGTTAAACTTTCAGTAAATGAAATAGTTACTAAAGACTAAGTACCTCCAGTTCCAACTCGTCTCGGTCCATTTCTTGATGAATTCCTCCCATGTAGTCATTTGGGTCATAGTATTCATGCACTGATGGATGGCTGGAAAAAAAAGGTATATTTTAGGACAGCACTCAGTACTCTAGTTAGCTTATTAATCCATTCTAAGCTTGTAGCAAGTCACTGTGAACATGATGGATTTACAACCAAACCAAGAAGTTGCATGTGGTTAGTTATATACGTTATACCATTTACACCGATACATGTATTAAATAAAAATTACATGTGTTACAAGAAGTGTCTAAAACATTTGGCACCTGATGATGAATGAGAGACTTGTAAAGAGTCTTAGCATTTATTAATGATTTTTCTCCAAATATAAAGCCAATTTGGGGAAAAAACATACAGAGAGAAGTGTGGCGAAGTAGTCTAAGGGGTACCAGGTGACAGCGAAGTGGGCAGGAATTTGCCAGGGTTCAAGATGAGAGGCAATACCAGGTCATTTACTTGTGAGCTCAGGTTATTTGCAGGCCTGCAAGTAAAATCATCCTTGCCTACTTGTTTGGTATTTTTACTTTGCCTTTAAGACACAAAATTGTATCAAATTGCTAAGTATTCTAAAAATAATTTGCTACCCAACTATTTAGATCAACAGCATTCTATTGATTGATTTGAACGCAATAAGCTGTGCATAATGATTTAAATACTATTTAAATACGCACCACTCTTCATATTGCCATTCCCTGCTGGCATGCTGTTTTTTACAACTTGAGCTCTCCCACAGTTTCACTGTCTGTACATTGGAAGTTGTAAGCAGTGTAATGCTCTTATGATCACTTTTTTCTACACTGGCATTTTATTTCTGCAATGAAAGTAAACTCCCTTTAATTCTCTGTTAACTAGATATATGTTTCTTTGTAAGTGTGAGGCTATTTATGTAACAGCATCTGCTAATTGGCTAAGATACCCAAGTCGTTATGCACAGGCTAGATTAATTTGAATGGAATTTGGAGAAGTTACAGAAAGCATTAGGAAAAAATTAATTTCATTTGCTTGCACATGGTGGGTGACGGGATACTTGACCTGCCACCTGACTGCTCTTGTAGCCAGGGATCACCCTGAGGGCGGCTACGTGCTTCAGACCAACATCGACAGCTCACAGTAAGGCCACTGATGATGCCAGCGGTTGGAATCTGTATCTAACGATTAAGCAGCAATACGAAGCCACTTGATAGGACTGAGCTGGTATCGTGCAGGCATCTTGCAACCTAAATGATTCATTATGAAGTTTTGCCGTTTTCCTAATGTAATTGGTTTTGCTGTTGGAAAGTTGCAGGTATTGAAAGCCCTTCTTGCAAATGTGTTTGGGGGTATGTAGTGTAGGTGCTGTAGGAATAAGCGTGTCCTCTCCACAGTGCTCTAAGCACTGTTGCTTTTTCACTGCGAACAAGCTCAAAGCTAGAGTCTTTTGTCAAACATTCCCACTAAAACACGCAGCTGTGCTTGAATTTTCAATGGGCTGGGAATAGGTGGCCATGCGGCATTATCCGCTGGAGCCATCCTTCAAGTCATCAGCACCAAGAGTCAGGAAAGGAGCAGACATTGCAGACAGACGCGCGGTTCCTGACTGACTGCGAATGTTAACGTGCTGTGAACATCGCTTAGGAGCGGTACGGGATCAGTGCCCTCTCGTATTCAGACTCTTAGTATTTCCAAGGAGCGCTGAGAGGGATGTTCGGAGAGGCACGCTGGGTGTGTTTGTGTGCTGATGGATGCTCACAGCTCAGGCAGCCGGTGGGGTTCCCCCTCCAGAGCCGCACTGCCCACACATGCGACCGCTAGCACTGCCCCTCACCGTGCACGGGATCATCTCAGAACCAGGTATTGCTGTGGGCTGACCACACCACGGTCTCTCATACACAACAACCGAGACATTCAGAATCCTTTCTATTACTTTTTCCCTGGTGGAGATGCATGGCAAGATGACAGGCAATTTGCACGGGTTCCTCGGGGAGCCGTCTTCCTCTTGAACAGCGTGTGAGGGTGTGGTGTGTGTGTGCCAGGAGATAATTGTCATTTTTATTTGTAAGTACAAAAGCATCAAACTACCATTAACAATAATTAAAATTTGATTCTAAAACATCCGTGACAGCGCTGGTAAGTAATTTTCATCCTAGAAAATAATTTATTTGAGTAACATCGCTGCAGGGTTATAATAAAGTAATTAATACAGTGGAACAGAATGTAGCAGCTCTTAGCATCACGCAATTTATGGCAGCCATAAAAAACAAAGTTAAAACATAAGCAACCCAAAGAGGCAGTGAGAGGAATTACAAGAAGCAATAACTTTATCCATCAAATGCCAGCAAAAAATGAGCTTTATGAGGCCATGTTGCGACTCTGGCATTACTCATGTGAATAATGGCTTGCTAGTGTGTAGAAAAAATGAAAACATTTTGAGTTATGGCTCGATGGTGTATGAATCCTGGTTATTTCTGGGAGTACAGGTTCGCCAGCAAGTAAAGGTGAGTTTGTGAACTACTCCTAACATGCCACATGAAGGAACACAAGGATTTTCAAGGGCTTCACAAACTGTTACTTACTCTTCAGGTAGGAGATACGGGTCTAGCACAGAGACGGGTGGAGTAGGTGAGCCCATCTTGCTTAGAGCCATGATGTGTTCAAAAGTGATATCTGTCTGCGTGCCCACATCTACCAGCTGAGACTCGTGAGGTGGAGCGAAGACCTTGGTGCGTGGAGTTCTTCTCAGGACCTGCACCACAATGGGCTCCTTGGCCGTTTTGAATGCTTCCACTGCCTGCTCATGTGTTGCTTTAGATAAATCCTTCCCATTGACCTGCGGGGAAAAAAGCAAGCAAAGCAATGAGAGAAACAGTCAGAAAGTGGAGGATATCTTTGTTGGTTTTGGCTGTTAATTTAAAAGTCTCAGCTTCCATCTAAAGGCACATACAACAAGTACTAGGAACTATTTATACAATGGTATGCATCTCTCATTTCCCCCTTTCGCTATAGTAACTTTACAAATCCCGTGCTCTGTTTTTATTTTGATAGATTTTACTGGGCTCACTCTTTGAGCTAAAGTACAAATCAACATCCTATTTGCTTCTTGCAGATTAGAAATCCCTCAGCCCTTGTGCAAACCAAACGAGTTCTTGATTCTCCTGTAATTTTTCTATTCTTTTTGTTGGCATTTTTTTTTTTTTTTAAATCTTTTAACCCTATTAGTGAACAGAACTACTGGGACACGAGCTGAAATTACAAAGTTATGTATCTGTGTCTGATAAAGAATTTTTCAGATAAAGCATCATGGTGGTACACATTCACTGCAATAAAAAGCCTGCATTTTAGAGATGGGATCCCTATAATGAGATAAGGAATAGAAATATTAAGGAAAAAAAAATAAATTCATGGGTGTTTTTTCAAAATCACTTTTTGTCTGTGTAGCTTGGCCATTTTCCATCCCCGGATCTCACCACCGTCATCTCCTGGTTGAGTTATACAAAACAGAATACCTTTACTAAACACGACTGAGAGACCCAACTACCGATACCAGACATGCCAGGCCACGGGAGGTGGGTGTCTGGAAGAGAATTTGAACACACATCCCTCCTATCTCAAAGGAGCAGCGAAACTCCTGTTTGCAGGAGCGAAACCGAGATGAGGCATGCAATTTTAGTACAAGGTTCACAGTTTCAAGTCTTTGGCAAGCAGAGGTGTCCCTCCTGATCCAGAGAGAGGTCTTGAGCTCTTCCAGCCCACTCATGCTTAGCTTCCTTCCCCACATGGTCTTTAATCAATTCTTCCGTAAGTATCTAAGTCTACCCAGGGGCTGTGAAAGAGATGAGGTCATATTTGTCAGAGTTTTTATAAAGCTGCAAAACCGTAATTCTTATTTTGAGTTTTGGTTCATGAGAAAATGTAATGTTTCCGTCTGTCTCCGACTGTAAGGACTGTAATCTTAAGGGAGCTAAACACAATGAACAGTGCGGAATGAACTGAAAAAAGGCAGCTGTGATGGAAAGACTGAATGTGTGCCCATTTCCTGCTGTTTCCAGCCCAATATGGAGATTTCTTTTGAAATTCAGCCTATTTATTGAGATGTCTGCAAATCCGAAAGGTCTATGGGCTCAGATGCAAAAAACTATGTCACAGAAATAGTGGGAACCACTAGTAACTCAAAGAAGTTTTTATCCTATTTCAACCTGCAAACTGTTGTCATTTTAATACAGATGAAAACGAACAATTAGAGACAAGCTGCCCAGAGCAATGTGTTAGTGAAAGCTGTATAGTGAAATTATGATCCTAAAGCATCACGCCATCATATAATTGTTACCATGTTCTTTGGACTGGGCCGAGTGTTGGCTGAGATGTAGAGATAAATGGCAATTCGAGATCTGAAGATGCCGCTGGCACTGACAGTGAGGGCCCCTATCATAGCAGTCCTTCTCATCAAGGAACATACTTCGCTTATATATTTTCTTTATGAATGATGTCTTACATTGTACTTTTTCCATTCATACAGCTATTCACCTGATAAATCGCATTATTGTATCAGAGGTATGAGTTGCACAGTGGAAACTGTTGCCTTCTGCATGGAAGTGCATAGAAGAGTAGAATATTTTTTTCAAGGCATAAACAGAATGAATTGCCTTGATTGGATGTAGATGCAATAGTGTCTAGCCTCAGGTATTAGTGGTGGCTACGACTTTGTCATTTAATCATTTTTGTACGTGTCTGAAATGTACACTAATGTGGTGATTCTGCCACGTTAGCTTATTGAATATGATTGAAAACTCTAAAATATATGTCCAGATTCTGGTATCTTTACTTGTACTGCATGGCACTTAGTTCACACTCTGCTATGCCATCTTTACTCCCATTAAAGTCAGTGGGGCAACTGAATGAGTAACATTACTCAGCGCGGTAACTGAATTTAGCCCATACTTAATGTATTGCCCACAGCCAAAAGCTGGGTGGTAATAAAGAGGGTTAACTCTAGTGCAGAATCGATTGAAAAGGCTAAATTCCTGTTTATTACCTTGTGCACATAACACTTATTACGCTGTCATCCTTGGTTTATCTTAGAGAGGCGATGACACCAGGTTTTTTTGTTAAGCCAGCTCAGAATGGAAGGTGTGAGCATCACATTTACATCACACAAACACTTGTGTTGACCACAATTGCTCACAGTAATGCATAGCATGTAGAGTTTGCCCTGGTCAAATTAAATATCATTAACTCGCCCAATTGAGCAGATTACTTTAAAACAATTTGTACAGCTGTAAAATTAAGTTAAATGTAATGTTTTCTCTGGAAAAAGGAAGTGCTGATTATGGTTAGAGTTTTATTATTTGCTGCAAATTAAATGTTGCACATTTTACTGTGTGCATCCTATTTTTTTTTTTTTTTGTACAACTAAATCCAACAAGCAATCAAAACAAAAGAATCTAAATTGTAGCAAGTGTAGTGTTTTTCAGAAACGTGCTCAGAATAACTCTTGAGCAGGAAACTTTTCATGTGAGCTGCCACTTTCTACATCTTTATGCTAAAACCCGGTAAAATCATGCAAAGGAGAGCTTTCCAGTTTATTCCCCAATATTGGAATGAACCTGGATTACAGAGAGTTTAGCATTTTAGTTTAGATTCCTCAGGACATTTTACTTCTGCAGATCTGTGCACTGGCATCCTCTTTGTGCTTTCATGTATTTTTTTTTTTTTATACAAATAACCATAACTTCAAAGTCAGGATGATATCATGCAGGGCACAGACAGTAGGTGGACTGTATCATAAACTGTTACTACAGGAAATATTTCCAAGTACTATCCTGACTATGTTTTCTACAAGCTGATGATGCAGGAAAAAAAGAGAAGTGCTGCATAGCAAGGGAGAAGGATGCGAGACCAGATCTTAGAATCTGGGAGAAGAGCCAGCTAAATTTTAATCTAAAACCTCTCCTCCTGCAAAGGGAACCTTCTGGAGAAAAGGTTTGTGACCTTCTGGCATTTGGCTTTTGGTTGAGGCTCAGCATTTCATAGGTTCGCCTATTGCCACTGCCGAGTTCCCTCTGCAGCAGCAGAACTGATGTGTGGAGTTTTCACAAATGCCCATTTGTGGGTCACTTAACTGTAGATACTGGACAGAGAACCGGACTTTTAAGGAGCATGTGCTCATCTCGTTCTGCTTCATCTGCTACAAGGATAGCCCCAACTGAGGGGCTGGCGAAAACCTGGGGGCAGGTGTGTTAAAAGCATTGTAAGTAATGGCATCGGGGCTGCTCTGCCAGAACCTGTCATCTTGTACTGCTGGACCCAAGTCAGAATTGAGCATTTCATTGGGTGTTTGTAGTCAACAGTCTCCACTCGGACATTTCAGAACACTAGGATTCTGCAGAGCATGGTAAATAAATAACTCTAAAAGGGAATTTCTATTTGATGTATATACAATTTTATATCACGGGTTTGATAAGATGGCAATGATTATAGTGAAACGAAAGCATAACTCACTGTACTATTATTATTATGGGTTTCTTAATGCACTGCTAAAATACAGTTGAGGATTTTGTCTGTGAAAGTTAATAATTCTATGAAATATGGCAGCATCCATATCATATTAGGCAAACAATTCTCCGGCCAGTAGCCGTTCACACGATGAATGGTTTCAGAGTCAGTCCGTGGATCTCGTACAAGAGACTGATTCCTGACCTCAGCCTGGGTGGAATCCTTTTAGCCCTGCAGATCCCTTTTGGCCAGCAGTGTTGGCCAATGGGGTGGGATGCTGAGGTATCAGATGTACTAAGAACTGCACTAACAAAATAAGAGAGAATGGGTTGCACAGAGCTATCACTATGAACCATTTTGATTCTGAATGTGGAATGATGGAAAAATACGCAATGATGCGAAAATATGCTTTAAAGCGATTTACAGCAGGGAAATAGCACTGTCTGAAGCTGGCCCCTTAAAAAACTGTGGTAAATACCGCACAGTGAATAGTTTGTATTTACTTTTTCTTTACTGTTTCCCATCCCAGCACATCAATAATGTAATTCTCTGTTGTAGGGACACGAAAACAGGAATGCTACAATATTTGGATAATGAAAACTAGTAATTCTCTAGTCTTCTTATATATAACAGAGCCAATTTACTTTTTTTTTTTGGTCTGGAAAAAAGTAGCAGGTATTGGTGTTTTATTTTTAGTAGCACAAAAATCATGCAAAAGAAAAATATACTGGGATGATCTCAATGGCCTGATTTCTGTTATCTGTGTAGAATTAGCACTCATGGATAATCTTGAGTCCCTCTGAAACTTCGGCTAATAGGTGATATTGATTAAGATATTCAGTTTCTATCTGGAAAATTTGTCGCAATTGACAAACAATTATTCCCAGTGCTTAAAAGCCAATAAATATATCTGCACAGTTTCACTTTGTTAAAAAAAAGGGGCTCTATAATCATAGACTTTATTCCTAATGCTGCTGAATTGTACTCAGCAAAATTCTTCCTTATAAATAGTTACATCTGAAATAACTCAGAAGATAAAAAAAATATCCATGCATATGAATGCTTCAGAAGACTGCCAAAACCTACAAATATGCATAATTTCTTAAGACCCTTACATGCCATGTGACAGAGACAATGGGATCTTTCATGACACAAAAGATGGATAAATTAACTTGTCTGAAATATTGCAGTGCTTAGCTTTTGGGCCTTCTTTTCATTGGAAATATATCGAATATTGAGAAAGCTGTAGTTAAACAGAGTTGAATGGACCTTAATGAAATTTGTGGTGGAGCCAGATAGTAGGCTTAGCAACTGCGTGACACGCAGAGATAACTACTC